CCTCGACAGAAAAAGAAGAAAAAAGGAGCTCGTTCGACGGCTAAGGCCTATTCAACGATGGCTTCGATTTGGCCTGTCGCTGCTATTATGAAGAACTTAAGCAAACCACGACAACGACGGCAACGAGAACTTCGCCAAACAAAAAGTTGAATGAGCAAAACAATAGCTGTGCACGTGCGTTACAAATCTCTGTACATTTCTTTGCCGTCCTCTGCACAACAACAGGGAACTTAAGCAAACCACGACAATGACGGCAACGAGACTTCGCCAAACAAAAGGTTGAATGAGCAAAACAATAGCTGTGCACGTGCGTTACAAATCTCTGTACATTTCTTTGCCGTCCTCTGCGCAACAACAGGGAACTTAAGCAAACCACGACGACGACGGCAACGTGTAACAATATAATTGTGGACAATTAATTACATGTCTTAAATGGTTTAAGCAAAACGTTGACTCCCGACGGTGTGCGGGCACATATCACATGAAGATTTAAGAGGAGTCCGCATGCTCTTAGCTCAATCCATTCCTGTCAATTTCAGGACAACAAACATTCCTTGAAGAGCAAAGAGCGATGGAAAGATGGTCGATTCTTCTATGTGGTCTCGTGATTGCCTCCGGGGTTCTTTCATCGGCAGTCGATGGTAAGCATATCCGCTTTCAACAGTTCAACTATCAGCCTTTCGCGTCGCGTTTTGGTCCCTTTTTATAACGCTGCAAAGCGTTTTAAAATGCAGTGGAATTCTGGCAGTGCAAACAGAGCTACACAGAGCAAGATTCAAGTGTTCTTGAGAACAGCGTCCGCGTCGCTACTTAATTGCCGTGGGAAGCATCTGATTCTCTATTTTGTGATAGTCGACAAAAGAGCGTTTAAGGTTACTTCAAACCTTATCGGGTGTCCTCCAGAAAAAAAAATTATACGCGCGCTGTTTTGGAGGAAACCCCCACAAACTATACATCAATAGAAAAATTATAAAATGTAGAATTCGATAAAGTTATATTATTTTTGGGGGACTGCTTTCCTCGGGCGGCAGAAGCCGTTAACGCCAAAACGACCGACTGAAATTCCGGCGAATTAATCGGGTATCAAATGCGATCGTTGATGCAAAATAACTGTGCAGTGT